AATTTTTAAGATAAATAATTTTTTCCTTTAATTTTATTGTTATTTATTTATTTTAAGAGATTTTTCTAGTTTGGTGTATTAATTATATCATTTTAAAATTAATTTTTTTTAAAAATAAATAAACTTTAAATTTATCAATTATTTAATTAAAATCTTTCACATGACAATATATATCATAAAAAAAAATCTTTTACATGACACTAATGTTAAAAATAATATTTATTTAAATATACAAATTGTTTCAAAATCTTTAATTTAAATAAGAAAATTAAAAAAAAAATTATTTATCGTGTACTCCTCACTAGGTACGGGCCCATGGCCAATGGCACCGTGCCAGGGCAGTGGTTTCCACACGTGGAGAGACATGAAATGTGTGATGGGATGGTGATGACTTGTTGTAACACATGTATAATAATCATGTTGGGATCACAGTAAATGTCTTTGCCATTCACCCCAAAGTTTTGAAAACCGGATCGGACTGGTTGATTGAATCGATTGGATCGACACCCATAGAAAAAATGGATCGGTTGAATATTTTAAACCATTTAAGTTATTAAACCACTTAAAACCACTCAGACCGTTCAAATCGATAAGAATCAATAACCCATCAATCCGATCGGGTCAACTCTTGAGACAAAATTCTCACACATTTGTCTCCACTAAGTTTCGAACACCAGGTCTCATGAAATGTTAATAAGCCATTTGCCACTTGGCCACCCCGTCTCTTATGAGAATCAATAACCCATCAATCCGATCGGGTCAACTCTTGAGACAAAATTTTCACACATTTGTCGTCTCATGAAATGTTAATAAGCCATTTGCCACTTGGTCACCCCGTCTCTTATGAGGTAAGTTGCAAAGAATATCTTTTAAAGAATGTCTAAAGATTTTAAAGGGAAAATGAATTCGATGAGGTTTGAACACTAGTTCTCTTGGATGTCCAACTAGATTCATGCCGCTTGATCTGATTCAAATTTGTCATAAAACTATGCATTAAGATATATTTATGGTAGAAATACATAAATTGAACAGCTTTCTCGTTTATGGAATTCAAACTGTGATTCTCCTCAATAAAATTAAAAATTTTGACCACCAGCGCCACAAGTAATTCTTTGACATGAGTTGCATTATATTTAATTTAATATCTATTTTCAAATTTTAATTAATTCGGTTTTTTAATTGGTTAAATCGATTGAACTATTAAAATCATGAACCTAAGGTCAAAATGGTTTAACCTCCGGTTCGATTTTGAAAACATTGGATTCACCCACGTTTGAGCGGGTGTGCAGAGTTAGACCGTGGCATACTGTTCCCGATCATAAGCGGCTATTTTGGTGCCTGTTCAGTTACTTAGAAAATGAGAGAAATATTCAATAA